GATGGATGGATGGATGGATGGATGGATGGATGGATGGATGGATGGATGGATGGATGGATGGATTTTACAACACCTGAAGAAAAGAGAACCTTGAACTGAACCTTTCCCGGTTGGTTTGTCTGACGGTCGCTGAAGGTCTTGGTTTCAAATAAATCAACTGGTCTGACGGGAGAACGCTCCGACTACAGTTTGAATCAGTCTGAGGTCAGAACTTCCTGCTGTCAGACCAGGTCTGAGTTGTTTCGAGTCCGAGCGATTCGCACAGCAGACGTTTTCTGTTTCCTCCCAACGCCATCGATCTACCGCCAACAGGCTGAACCAATCAGCTGTCAGAAAGAGGCCGTGCTGTTTCCACTGTAACCGTGTCGGACGGGTGTGAAACGCGCCGCGTCGGCTGCTGTTAGCCACCTGACAGCTGACACCCGCTTGGGCGGAACTACAGGAGGAACTGGGTCTGTCGCCATGGTTACCAGGTGTGCTGGTGGGCGTGTTCTCATGACAGTAAACCTTCTGAACATCCAACAGAAACATCCTGATCATGAAGTCTGACAGCTGTGGAGCCAAGTGGGCCTAAGAGAACCATCAAACAGAACACCTGGAGCCTTTAGATGGATCCAGAACAACCGAACCACCACCAGTCATAAATCTGCTCCTCCAGGTTGTCTCAGGTGGTTTAAGACAGGAAGACAAAGACAAAAAAAAAATTCTATCCAGTTTTTACCCGGTTCTTTATTTAGAGTCACATAGAGCTGGTGTCCTTGTCCAGAGGACACTGTGTGGCAGGCAGGGACAACCGGACAGGCCTCCGGTACATCGCAGGGACACATGGACATGTCTCTGGTCCATTGCAGGGTCATCTAGACAGGTCTCTGGTCCATTACAGGGACACCTGGACAGGTCTTCTGTCCATCACTGAGACACCTGAACAGGTCTCCAGTCCATCGCAGAGACACCTGGACAGGTCTCCAGTCCATCGCAGACTAACATGGACGCTTTAACAACCAGAGAAATTACTTTTTCGGTGAAAACTGCGAGCTGAAGAAATTGAAACTAAATAATTGAAGCTAAAAGAGGCAGAATTGTAGCTAAAAGCTAAAAGCTAAACCAACGTTCACACCTGAGTGGACTCACCTGCACTCAGCTCACCTTTCCCTCCTCCTCAGTATTTAGACTCCTCCTTCAACTGTTCACCTCTTCCTGTTTTTTGCCTGATTTGAGTGGTATTTATTTATTTATTTATTATTTATTTATTTTGTTTGTTTTTCATCCCTCTTCTTTAAAGATTTCAGGTTTTGCAACATTTGCATCTTGATTTTTGGCATTTGGGTTCCAACTTCTACAATCGTATGACAAGAATTAAAAACAGGCACAAGAAATACAAACAAACTAACAAACAAACAAACAAACAGGTGTAAACAACGTTGACCAGCTTCTTCTCTTCCTGTTTTCATATTTCATGTTCAGCTGTTTGTTGGGCTTTAGGGTTAGAGTTTATTTGTTTGTTTTCCGAACTTTTTACAGATTTTAATTTTATTATTTTAATAAAATGTCCAACCAGGAGCCTCGGGTCGTTAAAGGAGCAGGAGATGGGTCTGGTTCTGGTTGGTCGATAATCTGACGTGAAATAAAAGAACAGTTCAGAGCGTAAATGGAGCAGAACCAACGAGATGTTTGAGCTCCCAGTGGGGTCCGTGTTTGTTGACTTCATTACTGAAGATCAGAACCTCTGCAGGGGAACTGTGAGGAGTTCACGGGCATCAGGAAACATCAGGAAACAAACCACTTCAGAGTCATGACAGAACGACATCTCTTCAGTCAAAAAAAAAAAATCCTTCAGAGCAGAACTTCAGGGAACTGTCGAAGGAAACAGGAGGAACTTCAGTGTTTTGTTCTTTGGTTTGGACCAGAACATCAGCTGTGAAGCACGGCAGTGGAAATTCATGGTGGAGGATTTCATTGAAGTTGGAAATTTAGTTTCAGACAAGCTTTTATGTCATTTAGACAGTTCAAGAGTGGTTCCAGTGGATACCTAACAGGAATATAAACCTGGATATCATCAGCAAAACAGTGGAAATGAATATGTTTCCTAAAAATGAACCCAAATACAACTCGTAAAGATTAAAAAGGCAGGGGACCGAGAATGCAGCCATGAGGAACCTCACAAGTCAGAGGATCTACAGAAGAGAAGATCAGGTCTATACCAGGCTCAAACTGGGCCTCGAATACCAACCACTTGTTCAGGTCCTGACATTTGTTCTAGTCTACAGCATCAAAGGAAGCAGAAAGGTCCAGAAACAGCAGAACTTCCTGAGTCAACAGAGCTGTCTCTTTGGCCTGATTTAAAACCTGCTGAGTTCCAATGATGTGGACCTCACACAGAAACCAGACTGAGACATTCAATAACTTCTACAAAGGGAAGGAGAACCTCACCTGGTAGATCAAAACCAAGATTCTGGTCCAGGTGTGCAGGAATCACAGATGGACTTCACTCTGTGTCAATAAATATCTTGTGACCTTCAGCCTCCAGGTTCTTGTTTTGGACCAAGCTTTAAAAAGTGAAGAATAAACAGGAACTCACAGAAAAACAAGAACAGTACAAGTGGATTCAGAACCTGGTTCCATCAGTCCTGATCCAAACATCAGGACCAGCTGAGGGGAGAATGTGGACAGAACGGAAAATCAAAGCTTTGTCTTTCGGCTCAGCTCCTTCTTCAAACCGGATCAACGCCCTCATTACTGAAGACCAGGCTCCAACCCGAGGGGCCTGTCCCACCATCACTCAGGAACTGGACTCTGAGGTTCTGGGCCTCCTCTGACAGACACAGAGACCTTATCAGAACAGTACAGTTTAATGCAATCTTCAGATTCTCCCATCAGAACCGAGGTTCTGATGAAACCGGACTGAACTGGACCCAAAACTGAATGTTTAAAAACATTTGGTTCTGATCTGGTGAGTGTTCTCACAGGGATCCAAGTCTGTAGAACGTCACTGATTCCATCAAACAGAAAGTTCTGTTGGATTTATGGACCCATCAGTGTCCAGGGTAAACTCCACCTCCAACAGAACCTCCGGTGTCGGTCCGATGGGGGAAACTGAAGCAGGTTCTGTTTGAATGTTCTTGTTCTGCTCTCAGACGTCCTGCTGCGGCCCGCGGACCTCCAGCTGACAAACTGTCATCTGAGCGGAACCAGAGGTTCTTCAGAACGGCTCATTTCACTAAAGCTGGGACGGAACTATCATCATCATCATTATCATCATCAGTCACCCCCCACTCCCTCTTCAGTGACGTCAGCATGGCTTTATAAGAACCCCTCGCCCGGGTCAGAACCAGCAGACCCGCCGAGAAGCAGATAAAAAGACAGACAGGTGATGAAGATGTTCTCCTCCTCGCGCCTCCTCCTCCTCCTCCTCTCCATCAGCGCCTCCTTCAGCTTCTGCTCCGCCGCTCAGAGAGACTCCAAACTCCGCCTGCTGCTGCACCGAACCCCGCTGCTGGGCTCCAAACAGGTCCGACACACCCACAGCCCGAACTCACAGCCAGAACCAGAACTTTAAGACCAAACGGGTCAGAACGGGTCAGAACCGAGAGTTTAAAAACCGACTTCAGGTTGTTCATCTTCAGCTTTTAAAGTTAATAAAAGCTGAACGGTTCCGACCCAAATGAGTGAACTGAGGTGTTGTAGTGTTTTAATCAGAGGTGTTCTGGTCAGAACCGGAAACATCTGGAGAAACGGATCAGGCTGAAATAAAAATATTATTTAATTTTCATTTCAATATTTTTCATTTTGAAATATAAAGTTTATTAAAAGTAATAAAAGTGATAAAAAAACTATTTTAAATTTTAATTAATTTGAAATTAAACTCAAAGATCTGAATCTGAGGTTTTTCATAAATTAAATTTTATTTTTATTTAAATGTTTTTTATAAACCGAACAAACTTTAATTAATAAAAGTTGCAACAATCTGTGGAACAAAGTTAATAAAGCATTCATAACTATTTATTAAAAAATAACAAAAATGATGAAATTCATGAACAGATTTATCTTCAAAACATCAGAAAATCTGAATAAGTTTTATGATTTTAAATAATTTAGCACAAAATCATTAAAGATTATTTAGATTTTATTATTTAGTTTTTATTAATGTTTCGTTGTTATTTTTTTAATTAGGATGAAAATAAAAACTGTTGTTTTTAAAATATAACATGAAAAATATATATTTTCTTTTAATAAATATTTATACATTTAAATGTTATTTTTTATTAAAACATTTATGTCTGAATTTTTGATCAATAATTTATGTTTCTGATCAGCGTTTATTGATCTGATCCAAACCAATGAGATCGATCAGAACCTTTGATCTGATCTGAGGTCCGCTCTAAACCGGGTCAGATTCATCAAAACCGGACTCTTTGGGTCCGGTTCTGATCAACAACTTTTATTAAAACAACAAATGTTGTTCCAAAGATTAAATTATTGAATTTATTTTTAGTAGTTTTAATTAAATCTGTTTATTTGTTGAAATTTTTTAAACGTTTATTTTTTACGTTCAACAAGTTTAAACTTTTATTTTGTATTATTTTTATTATAAAAACTTATTATTTTTTTATTCTCAGTTTTTAAAAGATGATGTAAAATATTAATTTCAGGTCATTTCAACTCGTCATCTTTAATAATTTCATTAATAAAACTTATCTTTAATTATTTTATTAATCCTTATTAATAAAACAGTCAGGATGAACTTTATTTCACTTTGACCCGAAACAAAACTGGAAAAGATTCATAAATCTGACAGAATCTACAGAACTTTTCTGATTTATTGAAATTATTAAATAGCTTGTATTTTTATTTTGTTTGTGATTTTCAGACTTTTCTTATTTTTCACAAGTTATGATTATTTTATTTTAATAACCTTTAAAACAAACTAATTTTCTGATTTTATTGACCATTTATTTATTAACCATTTATTATTTATTTGTGTTTTTATGTTTATTTAAATATGTTTCGTTTTATTCAACTGATTCGTCGCTCAACTGGACTCAGAACCGGACCGAAACAGAACTTTTCGTCTCCTCCCATCATGCATTTATTCAAATTTATTCATATTCAATTTTCCTTTCTTCTGTCTGGTTTGGGTCAGGAATCAGAACCAGAATCAGAATCAGAACCACTGGGTTCAGTTTGCTGATCTGGGAGGCATTTGGACCTCTGCTGGTTCTGTTCCGAGCCCAGAACTTTTTTTTTCTAGTGAAACTTTTAGTCTTGTTGTTCACAAGCAGAACCAGAACCATCCGGTACTGTCTTCCAGACTCCTTCCTGCCGTTTACATGCCGCCCTGACTGTAGTCCAGACTCTGAGGGGAGACAGGTTCTGGTCTGACTGCAGCTGGTCCAGAACCAGGCCGACTTTGGGTTTTGGGTTGGTGGAGGGACTGAGCTGTTTCTGACCCGTCCTGACCCAACAAACCTTCTCTGACCTCAGTAAAGGAGGTCCTGTTAGTTCTGAAAGATGTCCAAACAGGTCCAGAATGCGCTGTGACCCGGGCCCGTTTGCAAAGAGTACTGTTAATCTGACCTTTGACCTCTCTGTCCCTGCAGGACACGTCCCGCTCCTCACTGACAGAGATGCTCCTGTCGGACCTCCTGCAGATGGAGAACGAGGCTCTGGAGGAGGACGGGTACCCTCTGCCTGAAGGAGAACCTGAGGACATCCGTCTGGCCCTGGAGCGGGCCGCCGGAACCGGGCCACTGCTGGCGCCACGAGAGAGGAAGGCCGGCTGCAAGAACTTCTTCTGGAAGACCTTCACGTCCTGCTGAGAGCTGCTCCTCCTCCTGCTCCTCCTCCTGCTCCTCCGCCTCCTCTAGTTTAGAACTCTGATTCTTTCTGTAAACTTGATGAAACTATTTTTAATTGTTGGTTTGAATAAAATCTGTTTGAGACAAACTCTGTCCGTCTGCTGATGAAGAGGAGGATCAGAGTCTTCGTCAGGGTCTCATCAACCAAATTAAATCAGAACCAGAACCCCACAGAGGTCAATCAGAACCAGAACATCTCAAGGGTCAATCAGAACCAGGTTCTCTCTCGGTCGAGGTAACTCTCTGCAGCCACAGTTACCGTCACGAACATCAGTTACTGAAGATGAAGCGTTTTATTGATTATTATTTATTTTATTTTAAAATCTTATGATCCGACAGAAGCTCCGTCGCTTCCTTTCACCAGATGTTTTCTGTTTCCGCCTCTCTTCACCTGAACGACTGCACCTCCTGGTCGCAGCTGCGTCTTCCCTTCAGCTCATTTTGTCGTCTCTTATTTGGAAAAAGTCACCGTCTCTCCAACACCAGCAGGTTGCGATGTTTCCAGGACCCAGTTGTCCGCGCGTTCTTTAGCTGTGGGGGCCATCGTGAATTGGGCTGACTGTAGATGTTACTTTCTGAGCGCTTCCTTCAGCCTTGGGAGGCGGGCGATCATGTATGAAGAATAACCGATCTGTCTGCTCAGGAAACACCAGACTCTGTTCACGAAACGTCCAATTCTCCCAGAAAATACAAAAGTTTCTCTTCAGCCCTTTGATGTCATTAACGAGGTTTGTCAGCGTTTTGAAGTGCGCTTCTGTGGCTCAGTCAGTATCTTACCTTTGTTGGATATTTAACCCTTCCACTGCTGCTCTATTCTCTCCCGCCTTTGCTGCTATCAGAGCTCTCGGACTGATCCCTACACATCAGGAGACCTGTGTTAAGGTGTTGGACCTAGTCGCTCCGTTAAAAATCAAACCAAAGCGCACCCCTTCCCTTGATGAGCTCACCCGAGCAGATAGATAGTGCAGGAAAACTGAGCGCAAATGGAAGAAGGATAAACTACACATTTGTGTTGCTATATGTTAAAAACATGTTGGAAAGACTTTCGGACCACCATCCAATCAGGATGCTTGAAATAGTCACAACCCCCGTGTTCTTTTTAACACCATGAACTCCATTTTAACCGTGCCTCAGTCGGCCAGCACGGAGGCCTCTGTAGACACTTGTAATGACTTTTTCAGATACTTTGTTGAAAAGGTTGAGTCGATTAGCTCATCGATTCCACACTCCACAGCTGACCCGTCTGTCCCCTGCTCAGCTGCCTTCAATCACTTCAGACACGTTTCCCTCTCATTTTTAAATGATGTTGGTGAAACCCTCGGGTTCCCCTGCTGATCTCATCCCTGCATCCTTTTTAAACTAGTTTTACCTTCGATTGGACCCTCTGTTCTTGCTATTCTAAACAGCAGGACTGCTATAAGTGTGGGCTCTGATGCTTTTAAACATACAGGAGTAAATCCATTAATTAAAAAACCTGGACTTGACCCTTCAGGCTGCTCATATTTTAGACCAATCTCAAAACTTCCCTTTCTTTCTGAAGTCTTGGTGGAAGTTGTTTTTTATTCAAAATATCCTGATGCATGCTCAATAATCCAGGTAGAACAACTGAAGAAGTCGTTCGGATGAAAGACAAAACGTTTCTACAATTTATATTTTTATTTTTTAACCCATCCAGAGGACCTGACTTAACTTTTGTGGCATTTTTATTCAACTGAATGAGTTTTTGAATGAGAATGGAATTATTTAAAAATCTTTCAGTTTGGTTTTAAATGATTACACAGCACTGAAACAACTTTAATGAGGGTTTGCAATGACATTCTGTTAGCAAATGATTCTGGTCAGTTTGTGATACTTGTACTCCTGGACCTTGCTGCTGCTTTTGGTACTGTTCACCACAGTATCCTTTTATCAAGGTTCGAACACTGGGTTGGGATTACAGGAGCAGCATTAGAATGGTTCCGTTCGTACCTGAATGACAGGAGTTTCTGTGTTAATGTTGGGAATAGTGTATCCCCGACAGTGCCCCTTTCCTGTGGGGTCCCACAGGGCTCGATTCTTGGACCCCTTTTATTTTCACTCTATCCGCTGCCTTTGGGTTTTATCCTGAAGATACATGGCCTTTCATTTCATTGTTATGCTGATGATTGTCAGATTTATCTGCTCTAGAAACCCAACAGTTCCTGCTCCATTCGCCCTCTGTTAAAATGTCTTGACAACATCAAGGCATGGATGGCTTCAAATTGTTTACGTTTTAATGATAAGAAAACTGAAGTCATTGCATTTAGCCCTAGCTCTACTGCTGTCACTGATCATGTAAATCTTGCCTCTCTTCAGCTTTCTCTTAAGCAGTCTGTTACAAATCTCAAGAAGGTTTTCGACTCTGACTTTAATTAATAAACAGATTAACTCTGTTCTACAAAAACGCTTCTTCCAGTTAAGGCAGATAGCAAAGTTTAAGTGTGCGTTGACCAGATCTGACCTTGAAAAAATAGTCCATGCATTCATTACAACCTGGGTGGACTACGGTACTGTAATGCACTTTATGTTGCGGTCAGTCAGGTGTCCAAAATGCGGCAGCTTGGCTTTTAACAGAAACTAGTAGGTATGAGCACGTTCCACCAGTTTTGTCCTCCCTTCACTGGCTCCCTGTGTGTGTCAGAATTAATTTTAAAATTCTCCTGTTGACATTTAAGTGCATTAAACATAAATAACAAGACAAATAGCTTTGCACCTGCATACCGCTCTGAGCTACTTCAACCTTCTCGGGCGCTGAGATCATCATCTGCTTTTGGATGTACCAAAAACCAGGCTGAAGCTCAGAGGAGATCAGGCTTTTTCAGTCATGGGCCCTAAACTCTGGAACAATCTGCCCCCCAACATCAGACAGGCCACTTCACTTCCTGTTTTTAAATCTCTCCTTAAAACACTCCTGTATACACTGATGTTTAAACACAGTGTGATTTGATTTACTATTTCATTGTTTCTCATTGTTTTTGTGTTTTTATTTTTGATGCTTTTAATTACTTCTTGTTATTATTATTTTTCTTAATTACTGCCTTGATTTTTTTTTTGTGAAGCACTTTGATAACAGTTGCTGTTTTAAATGTGCTTTTTAAATAATTCTGACTTGACTTACCTGCAGCAGATCGTTCTTTAAACGTGGGAGCGTTTGTCTCTGACACGACTGGCGAGCTAACGGCTAGCCTGAACAGAACCAGGACCAAATCACCGTCACCTGAGAAATTTTCCGCTTCGCATCTTTCAAGCAAAAATCTGACATGACTGCAGGAAGTGCTACAGCTAGCTGCTGCTGCTAATCAAAAGAACTCTGAGCAAACTGTTTAATGATCCAGACGGGTTTAAAGGTTTGTTCAGTGTGATGACATCACTCCAACATTTAGACTGTCTGAACTTTAAGACTTTTTTAAAAAAACTCTTCTTTTTTCCATCTTCACTCATCTTCCTCCCAGCGTGTCTCTCTGCTGGAGGACTGATGGTGTCCTCTCAGAGGTCAAAGGTCAAACTCCCATTGACTTGCATTGTATCTGAGCTCTGAGTTTTCTCTTCAAACAGGAAGTGAAGGTTCTAAACAGGAAGTGAAAGCTCTTTTAAACCTGTCACACCAACCATCAAACAGAACCCGAGGTACCATCAGAACCTTCAACTGCTCACGGGTCAAGAAGTTCTTTCACTTCTAGTTTTCACTCAGTTTGTTTGAAGCTGCTTTTTTACTCTGTGTTTCTGCCTGAGGTGCAGCCCCTCGTCGCCATGGCAACCAGTAACTCAGCAGATTGTGTTTCTTCTCTACACTCAGCATGCTTCTCTTCCTCCTCTTTTTCCATCATGGCCGCCCCCATTGAGCCTTCATGTCGTCTTGATGTTCAGGAGGAGTTAGTCAGGGGTTTGTTTGTTTGTTTGTTTATTTGTTTGTTTGTTTCTGATTTTTAGAGGAGAACAATGACGGACGTTGGAGTTTTGGTTCTTTTTTTATTTCTAATTTTTCTTATTTGTCCAGTTTGAACAGAACCATTTCAAACCTGAACGTTTCATAAGTCCAGTACATTTGTAACAGAACCTCCTGAAGGAGCAGCAGAACCTGGACCGAGTCCAACTGATGGTTCCTCAGATTGTTTCAAGCTGCTGCTGAGTTCCTCCTCCAACTCTCTGACCATCTTCTGAATGAAGCAATGCTGCAGGGAGGAACAGAAGAATGATTCTCCTGCTGAACAGAACCAGGCCTGAAGAGAACATCATGGACCTCCGGCCCGGCGAGCTGACGGTCGGGAAGGGGAGGAAACGAAACTCGTTCTGAGCTTGTCAGGACAGGAAACGGCAAACATCAGACAGAACATGTTCCTGTTCCTATATAATCTGTTTCTGTTGTTTCATAATCCAACATCAGGGGTTCATTAATCATCTGGATGAACACATGAATAAAATAAAGCTCTTAAGATTTTCTATTTCAGTGTTTTAATGCTGAGTTCAGTGTCGTCAGCCTTCAAACAACAACAATAATCATTCTACTTCTACTAAAAATATTAATGAGATGAAGAAACTCCTGTCACACGACAAACAAACAGATTTTTAATTAGAGAAAAAAAATTAAAGGTTAAAGTTTATCAATTAAAATTGTCAGTAAAGTGATGATATTTTGTCTGATTGGAGGTAAGGAAACTGTTTCTGTCAGAAAATCAAACTGAGGAGGAAAAAACTAGAGAACCAGCATCAGCTGACCTGTGTCCAGTCAAAGGGTCAGATGGTTCAGCTGTGGTTCTGATCTTGGTTCTAGTCCTGGTTCTGATCACTGTGATGTGTTCTTGTGAAGTGAAGCAGTTCTGGTCTCAGATTAAACAGAATCAGTTCAAAGTGAGTCTCAAATCGTTTGTTGTGTTTCAGCTTCCTTTTGAGTCTCGGGTCTTTAGTCTTATGTTGCAGGAATTTTATACGTGTTAAAAACAACA